ATTATGGCCAAACAAACTTTTTTTTCCTGCCTTCTCATAGAATAATTTAGGTCAGAAAAGAACTCTAAGATCATTAAGTCCAAGCATTTACCTAACACTGCCACTGCCAACATGGTAAACTATGTCCCTAAGTGCCATATCCACACATCTTTTACATAATTCAGGGACTCAGTCCATTCCCTGGGAAGCCTGTTCCAACACCTGACATACCCCTTCAGTGAAGAAATTTTCCCTTATATCCAACCTAAACTTCCCCTGGCACAACTCAAGGCCATTTCCTCTTGTTCTATCACTTGCGTCACTTGGGACAAGAAACAAACACCCACTTAGCTACTACCTCCTTTTAGGTAGTTGTAGAGAGCAATATGGTCTCCCCTGAGCCTCCTTTTCTCCAGGCTAAATCCCCCCAGCTCTCTCAGCTACTCCTCTTAGGACTTACTCTCTACACCATTCACCAGCTTTGTTGTCCTCCTCTGGACACACCCCAGCACCTCTATGTCTTTACTGAAGTGAGGGGTCCAGAACTGGACACGGCACTTGAGGTGTGGCCTCACCAGTACAGGGGGATGATCACTGCCCTGGGTCCTGTTGGCTGCACTGCTTTTGATGCAGGCCAGGATATCCCTGGCCTTCTTGGCCAACTGGGAACACACTAGTTCACTTTCAGAAGCTGTCAACCAGCACCCCCAGGTCCTTTTCCTCCAGGAAGCTTTCCAGCCACTCTGCTACAAACTTGTAGCATTGCATGGGAATTGGAAAACAAGGTGCTTTGCACCCAGACCTTCAAGAGGAATAAAAGTATTGGAAATACCTTCTACAGGCGTGCAGTTTGAGCATTTTGCTCAGAGGACCCTGCACAGAGACACAACCAAGTTCAACATAGCATTTAAAGACTGCCACAACTGAGACAGAAAAAAAAGTGGGGTCCTCACTGTTTAGAGAACCATCTTCCATGTCTAAGTAGTGCTTGTTAGAAACAGGAAGTGAACACAGGGCATACACATCTGCAGGGAGGAAGGGGTGAGGATGCATGAAACAAACAAACAAGAAAGCCTAGGAATCTGCTTAGGATCATATTAAAAAGAACAGAAAAGATACACTGGTGCCAGCATAGATGAAAAACTGGGGTAGTCCAGGAACAAACATGAACTGCACTAACCAGTGTCTGGAGTGGAAGGAACAAACAGAATTTCTTTACAGAAAATCAGAACTAAAAATATTCTCACAGAAGATGAACGTGAACACAACTTCACTGGCACAGTTTAAAGCTGCAATCTTCTACTTCTTACCAATTTTACTTCTGCAATACCAGCATGCCTTCACCTGTAGAAAGCTTGTTTGTGGCCCCAGAAACTTGCAGTAAGAAGAGGCTTTGAGATGAGAAATGGAAGTTTAAAATTCATACTGAAATCAGACTTGGAACTGTTCAGTTGTTTCTCTCCCCTTAGAGCTGATGATTGTAGTGTAACTCCCCATATTCCCATGCTTACATCTTCCTAGCTAACAGAAACATTTCTTTGTCTACTGAAGAAACCCAACCTACCATTTACACTGAATTTAAGCCTACTGCTAACGTCTGAGGCACGTGACTCAATGCAAGTCTTCTGCTCCTGTGAATGCTGTCACAGCTCCTACTTTACCTTAGAACTGAGGTGAACTTGTGATTGAATTTCAGTATTTATGTCCAGAATCCTATTTTGAACTCTGACAGCTACTAGTGGGAGCAAAGTCAATGAACCTGCTTTAAGGCAGCAACTCTTAATGTTACATAAGTTATGTTTCCTCCTGCCTGCTTGCCTCTCAATTGGAATAATTTAAAACTACAACTTCCTTGGTACAAAGACTAGCTTTCTCCATAAAATATAAATGTTGTGTCAACTCTAGGTCATGATCAACAAACCTTACTCTATCTGGTAAATATGAAAGTAAGTAAGTTTTCTTTAAATATTAAAACACCAGTTTCATATCCCCAAAAGCTGTTGCTGCACAGTATATGGGGCTCTAATCAAAAAGACCTAATCAAACAGCAAGCACTGTTCAATGAGACAGCGCTCAACCAGCACACAACTAGCAGAAGCCAATACAGCTTGTCAAATTCAAAGGACTCCATAAGTAACTTTTGTAAATAGGATTAATATCCAAAGTGATATGAACTGTGCAAAGAATAATGTAGTTTAAGATATAAAAAAATCTTTTGAAAGACGGAAGGGAAATCCTACTCTTGCATAATGTCGACAGAGAAGTATGTTTCTACAATTTTCAACACCCACTCAACTCCTTTCTAGTTTTAATAGGCTAAATAAAAAATATAGCTAGAAAATAATAATAATACAGAACCACAAGAGAAAAGAAAAGCTAGACATGCTTGTTAAAAAAAAAGCCTTTATAAACAATTGTGACCCCTTACTTAAAGACTAACCACAGACCCTGAAAGACTAGTTCAAGTGCTGACAAACATATCCCGTGACTGTCTAACATACATTGATGTCAAAACCATTTTTCTGCAACTGAAATCCTAATGTTCTCTGCACACAACAGGATTTATAGAAGAGCCATCTATCACATAAAATGGTCTCATATACTGATGGAAATGACAGTGCTATAGCTTGTTGATTTTCCCCTTCACACATTTTTAAAGCATGGTCCAACTGTAATGTCCAAAATCCCTGATTAGAGCAGTGAAGACTGTTTTAAAAAGCATGAATATTTATTTCATTAAATATTATCACTTCTCTGGCATCTGACATATTTACTTCCCTCTCTACCTAGCCTACACTTTTTATTTCCTGAACATACAGGAAAGGACTATAGCAACCAATGGCTTGTTTTCTCTTCTATCTAATCTGAACTGTGTAAATTCAGCACGGCAAGTAGACTTGCTGTTCCCTTACACAGCTTATAGACTGGATACCTGATAATAACCAGTGAAGAAAAATTAACACAGCTTGACCAAATGCACCAAGATATTCCAGACATTCCAGCAACTGCAATCTAAATGCCACCAAAAGAGACAGCATTACACTGCTGTATAAAGTATTTCACCACATACAGCTTCTATATTTATGTCTCTAACATTTATAATCCTAAGAAATTAAATGACAATCTCACAGGCGAAACTGGTATCATGGACAGAAGAAAGTCAGACATACAAGTACAGAGATATTTTGAAGTATGCTAGAAGGCAATCCATTCCTGAAAATTACTTGTAAAAAATTTAACACAACAGACTCCATAAAATTTTCTCTCCTCAAAAATTAGAGATTTGGCAAAATTAATCTTATTACTTTAATCAGCTCTGAAAGCCACTACCAAGACAGTCTTATTCTTTCTCTTCCTCTTCCTTCTTCCACCCATTTCCTCTTTCTGTGTCAAGCACTCATACTGCAGACATTAAAATGACCTTATGCAAAAAGTCAGAGCAGCGATCCAGCTTGTCATGCCACTAAATGGAATGGAAAGGGATGGTGGGAGTAGGGTACCTGTCCTTTCGACTACAGTCTGCATTTTATCAGATCAAGCATACCACAAAACTGCACCCTACCAAACTAGTGAGAGACATCTATATTAGACATATCTAAGTCAGTATGAGGCAGGTTAGGTAGGGTGAGGCCTTTAACTCCTTAAGAATCTTATTGCAAAATAGAAGACTCCATTAACAACTTCACTGGAAAAACCTACTCTTCAGGTACATTCAGCTGTTAAGAGCAACACCACATCCTGTTAGAGGCCTGCAGGTTTCCTCAGTCCTGATTGTCTTCAGTAAGGGTTCACAACAGCAACACTTTTCTTACTGTTTTCTTCAATTGAAGCAAGCTCTTTTCAAAGAGGCTCAGCAAACTGCAGGGCGGAGGAAGTTCTTCCAAGGATGAAACTCTACATTCAGAGAGCTTTAGCAGATTTTTCTTCTGTAGGCAGGTTGAGATTGATGGTTTAAATGGTCTAAACTGGGTTTGCACTTACTTGCGTTTAAATTAAAAACTTGTTTTATGAGCTATCTAGTTAAAATACTTAATTAGGTTATGTATTTAATTAATTTTTTTACATCAGTACTTCAAATAGTATTCCAAATACAAAAAAAATATTGAAGTTCAGATATATTTAGGGATCAGATAGTCCTGCTTTGGGAGACACCAACTAGTCTTGTCTATCGAACTACATTCATGGTGATTTTCTTAACTTCTAAGTAAGAATTCAAACTTTTACATTGGGAGACAATACACAAACGTGATAAACAGCCATGGCATTTTCTAGACCAATTCCTTATTTAAAAAAAGGAAACCCTGAAAATAATGGTTTAAGTTTTGGCAAAAGAATGTATGTTCACTGAAAAAACGCCACTTCTAATCCAGGATTTAAAACTGTGCAACTTCCAATGGCTTTTCATATATTTTTAGGAAAAAACTGTGGCTGTTATTGATTTTTTAAAAACTAACTTTGCACTGATTTTTTCGGAAAAAATACAGGAGCAAAAATGTACGTATCGATGACTACATGCACTAGCAAATTGAGAGTTTGGCTGCTGGGAGTCCTATAAGGGAATGCAGTGGATGCCACGTTAGAAGAGGAAGAATGTTGCGTGGGACTGTATTATAAAACTGCTTTTATTCATTAATATATTGCTAACCCATGCAACCACAAGGTAAACCTCAGAGCATTTCAATGCTATTTCTTTAAAGGGTAAAGGGTTCCCTGCGCGTTTCAGCCTACGCAAGCACCTCCTCGGCGGCCGCTGCAGGCCGGACACGCCGCGCCGCCCAGTGCCACGGGCACGGCGGCTCCGGGCAGGGCCGCGCCGCAGCGGAAGAAGGCCGGGGCGGGAGGGCTGTGCATCGACAGGGATGTCCCCGGGCGACGGCTCTGGCCCGGCGGCACTCACGAACATTCTCCCGAGCTACAGCAACCACGGGATCCCGCCCAGACACGACGCCCGAGGGCAGATCCACGGCCCCTTCCAGCCACGGGAGCGGCTACCTTCCTTCCCGACACCAAGAGAGCGGTGCGCAGGTTCATGGCGGGAGGGCGCGGACAGGAAGAGAAGGGCGGCTCTGCCCCGCTTCCACCCACGCCCGAGTTCTCTGTTTGAGGGCCCATACCCGACTCCCAAATCATCCACGTGTCAGCAGGCAGCGGGCTCCGTCGCGCCCTGCACGGGGACGGGGGGTCAGGCCGCTGCGTCCTTCCCTCACCTGGCTTGGCCGGTTTAGGTGGAGGCTTGGACATGGCTGGAGCCGACCCTAGCGCGGACGGGGGAGCGGCGGGCCGGCGATCGGCTGCCTGCAGGTGGGCACTCGGTGCGGGGCGGCGGCGCAAAACCCCTCCGGGCTCCCGGGAGCGGCGCGCCGCGGCGACAGCAGCGCAGAGTGGGTGGATCGCTCCGCCCCGGCGGCCGCAGGCGCGTCACCAGCCCCGGGCGGGACGCAACCAATCGGCACGGGCGCTGAGGGTGAGGCCCCGCCCCTCCCCTCCGCTGAAGAGGCGGGCAAAGGGGGCACACGGCAGGGGTGCGTCGGGGAGGTTTGAGGTGTCCGGTCCGGCGTCTGCGGGGGGCCCGATCCCGATCCCGATCCCGATCCCGATCCCGATCCCGATCCCGATCCCGATCCCGATCCCGATCCCAGGCGTGTGGCTGGAGCGCGGTGCGCGCAGAACCGCCCCTTCTCGGATGTACGCGCGCCTTGGGCAGCTCCGTAATAGGACGTAAGAGGTGGGCTCTCCGCTCTGGACACCCTCCCAGCGTGGTTAAAGTTCAGTGCGAACCGCAGAGACTGAAGTGTTGCAGCTGCTGGGAGAGGTGCGGCCGTCTGTGGCGACCGGCGCGCGGACCCCCGAGCCCCTCCGCCGATCCCGGTGTGTGGGCTTGATGCCTGGGAGAGACGCTCCCTGTCCGGCTCTGGTGGTGCCTAGAAGGAAACACGCTTCAGTCCCCGTGCCCGCGAGTTTTGACCCGGTATGCTCTTAAAAATGGGGTGACGGCAATGCTGTGCTAGCGTTGTCATGGGTTTTAGTTCTATTTAGAGATGCTAAACTCAAGCCCAGATAAAGTGGCGTAGGGTTTCTGTGTTGCAACATTGATTAAAAATTTGCCTTTGCAATTTGTGTTATACATTACTCAGAGGTCAGAGGAGTTGATGGGTTTTTTTGTGCTAGTGTTTTTTGCCTTAGACTGGGATTAATTTACATATAAACAATGACATAAATTAAAGTCCAAAGCTCAACACGTGTGTCCAGTTACTATTAAGTTTGTTACATAGCATGCTTTGTGGGACAAAGGGTAATCCTCTGCAACACAAACCTTACTGATGATTTTTAGAAAAAAGCATTCTTGTTTTGGTTTTTGTGGCCTGAGTATCATCACTTCCTGAGAACAGATCATCTGTTTGCACTCTTTGCACTCATAGCTAATACCATAAGTATGCAATCGTCTTTGAACTTGAGAATTACAATATGCTGAGAAAACCCATGTGTACTAACTTAAAAAAACTTCCCAATGCAAGTAGATGTGCAGCACCATTACAAAGCAGTTGCTATCATATGGGTGATGGCTTGACTAGTCGGTATGTCTTTTGTTATTGGGTTTTTTTCAACATAATAATACATAAAAAAGAACCATGCCAGGATCACATCACAGACCTGTGAAACAGTTGAACATCCAGTCATTGCACCAAATGCAAAAGGATGTTATTAATTCAGACTCTGTATATGCCTAAAACTTACTATTCACAGAAATAGCGTGATATTACTTTCATACTGATGCCCTGTAACAGTCTTTTTTTTAGTGTAGTAGAGATACTTCTTTGTTGGGGTAGGTGAGACAGTTTTGCCTGCTCCATCCCTTCAGGTCTTAGGTGTCATAGACCTTACCTCCTTAAGTCTGACCTAGGAAGACAGAGAAGTTGAAAAAAAGGGTGTTTGCCTGTAGTTAAACAGTTATAAATTGATGTCTGCTCATGGAAAGCAATGTCTAACAAATGTTAAACTGGTCTGATGAACCATAGACTAGTGATGCTGCCAAGACAAGCAGCCCTGTTGCTGCCAAGAGAACAACCTGTCCTGCTACGTCATACCTTTGCAGACATGGGAAACTGGATGGCGTACTGGAGGGAATTTGTTCAGCTGAAGACAAACATTCTTCCCCACACTTTTCACAGAACTGTTTTTCATCTGCGGTCCTTTTCTAGTATAGTTCTCTAAGTACTCTGCAAACACCCGTTCCAGAAGAAAGTTCAGGGGAAGGAGTCAGGGCAAGACAGGATTGTGTCTTCTGGCAGCACTGACCACTGAAGGTGTTCAGCCAGCCAGAGCCTTAGGGTTGGTCTCTTGGCAGTAATGGGGGTATGGATGGCTAAATTAACCTTTATAGTTTCACTCTGATCTTTTCTGGAGAAAACCAAGTGCTACCTAGTCCTTCTCAGTGCTAAGTCAGCTAGGATGGCTTAAACAGCCTTTACACTAGTTTTAATGCCTTCAGATTAATCTGTACGAGAGGAAGAGTCTGTGTGTGGTCTGTGCTGTTAGTCCCCACAAAAAGGGGAATTACACATTGAATATTACACTGCTGAGACTAGATTCATAGAAGAATCTTTGAAGATACTCTTTGTTATAACTCTTCATGAACTTTTAAAAACATCTTTCTTCTCAGGATGTCACTTGTTTTTTTTAATGACTTTGTTTGTTTTACCACCACAGCCTCTGTTTACCTAGTCTTTTTTATACTGTTAGTCCTTGAGCTAGTGACTGTGCTTTTCTTTAAGAACTTGGATGATATTAATATTTTTAGAACTGGGTCTCTCAAAGTTCTTTTCAAATGATTAAAATACGATCGAAGGTAAAGTAAATTTAAATTTACAATGTGGCATATAAATGGCAGGTTTTTTGGTAGCATTAGAACAAACAATTGAGATTCTGACTGTACTTTGCAAAAAGAAAAATAATGGACAAGAGGACAGAAAATAAATCTTCTCTATAATTAGTATTTCTTAATATGACAGCTGCTTTCCTAGTTGCTGAGTTAAGAGTTTTTCACTGTTTTCTGTTCTTGACAGAAAAAAGGAAGAGCTGAATATGAAAGTATTGGTTATTGGCCTTGGAGGGTAAGTATGACAAAATTAAATTTCCTCTACAGCTTAAGACTGGTCTTCCTTCCAGAACGAAGTGATATGATTTCTATTTCTGAATATAAATTTTTTTGAAACTGGATTACAAATACAAGATATAACTGTATGATTTTAAAGCATGTAATTCTTAGCAAATTGTTCTGTCTCTGTTGGAGGTCTCAGGTACAGGTGTCTCTAGCCTCTTTCTTGGCACTGCTAGATTTACTGTCTGAAAGCTGTTGGAATATGCCAAAAAATTTCTATAGGTAGAGAGTATTTAATGTGAATAAACTTTTGGGGAGGGGGTTGTATTGTTTCTTTGCATATAACTATGTAGAAATGTATGTGTGAGCTTTTACATATGTTTAAAAGATTGATTTTTGTCTCGATGAAGTTTTTACAATGTTTTCTAACAGCGTAACAAATGGGGGGAAAACAACGCTAGCAGAAAAGCTTAAGAAAATGCTTCCCAACTGTGATATAATCTCTCAAGATGACTTCTTTAAGGTAACAGTGTTGATGAAAAGACCTGATAAGGCTTGAGTAGATTTTAGTATCTACTAAATTTTCGGTTCTCTTGATGAGCTTTTAAAATTGATGCTACTTAAAATAATGTTAACTTCATGAGAAGGAGAAATAAAATTTCAATTACTGGGGTAATTGAAGTCTTAATGGCCAAACCACTGAGTAAACTCAGCAAAAAGAAGCTTACTGTCTTCTTTGCTACCCTTTTAAAATAAGGAGTGCATGTATGTCGGATGCATTTTTCAAGATCCCTTGTGCTAATGAATTTAGTAGTTCTGTGTTAAGCAATAAGTAGTTCTTTATCTCCAAAATCAAAACAGAAAAGCAGCTTGTGTATTGATGCTGGAGGTCTTTGTTAAGGAGGATGAAGGAGCTCTTATTTCTTAAGTAAAGCTCTAATGAACTTAAGTCATATGCTTTGGAGTATCTGTTGTTCTAGATTAAATAAAGTTTTTGTACTTTAACAGTTGTATACAGCAGTTTAATGGTGAAGATAAATTATATTAATTGGGGTAAAAAAGTGTATAATCCTGTGTTTATTAGTGAAGTGTATATATCTGTGACAGTGATCATAAAAGCAGCCTTGAAAAAATTCAATTTTTTTCCCCTTCAGCCGGAGTCTGAAGTAGAAACAGATGAACGTGGATTTAAGCTATATGATGGTCAGTAACTTTGATGCATTGCTTTTGAACATTGTACTGAAATTCTGTTGTGCTGAGCTTCCAACACTTCTTCCCCTACATCCCCTGCCCTTCTTCCCCTCTAAGCAAGGCACTAAACAAAAGGTTGTTTCAGAGAACTCCTTTGCTCAGTTTCCTTCAGCTCACTGAGAAAACTTGCTTAACTAGTAAATAGCTCAATCTCTCCTTTAGCTTAATCTTTCCTTTTCTCTTTTTAATCTTTTCCTCTGCTTCTTCACTTGTATCTAGTGCAATAGCAAATGGTACGGGTCAAAGTCTTAGCTTGCAGCACTGGCGTAAGTTTAACCTCATCACTTTCTATGTAATGGATTTATTTTCACTTTGACAAGGAACTCATGGGATGTCACTGAGTTTTTCAACTCAGTCAAAAATGGCATCTTAACCTGACACCTTTTTTCATTTCAGATCTCACATAAAGAACAAATGTTTTTAAGTTCACAATTAATGCTGGTTCAATGTGTCAATTTAGTCTTATAAACTTGTAGATCCAGATCTGCTTTAGGCCAGTGCTTTGATTCAGGTTATATCTAGTTGTGAACGGTTGCTTAGTGGCTAAATTCTGTTGATACTTGGTGATCACAAAATACATTACCCAAGACATTGGTCAGACCCTTCAATTGTATCTGAAAAATGATGCTTATGAGCTATGCAGACTTTGGCTCAACTTGTAGGCTTCATGAAAGTGGAATGTGGAACTGGAGAGATAAATTTGACCTTCTGGCTCAAATATCCAGATTTAATGCTGCTCTTAAAAGCTTTTTGAAAATGTGTTTGCTTTTATGTCTTTCGGTACTTAATATATTCTTGTGTATCTACAGACAAAACCAGGTGTTACATTGTGCTGTTTTTCTTTGTGTGCTGTGCTCCTTTAAAACCACTTGTGCCCACCTTCCATATACCTGAACCTCATAAAAACCTGAAACAAAAAATGTTGAGCATCCAATCCATCTATGACAAATGACACAAGGGTGGAGGTCTCAGGGTAAGTAAGTTTTTACGAGTTTTGTGGAAGAGGAGAACAGTCCCTGCAGTTTCTGTTATGAAGCAAAAAGCTGTGAAGTGAGTTCACACAATTTTGAGTGCCATGAAGTTCAGAGAAACTACACCCAGCAGAAATACCCCAATCCTCGTGCAAGCTTTGGTTTCAGAAAATCAGCAATTGCAAACCTAGGACTACTAATATGCATGAACTGAACTTCCTTTAAGCTTGTATATGGATTATTTGATTCTTACTGATTAACTGAAGGGTACTTAAGGGTTCTTTTTTTTTTCTTTTATTCTCTGTGTTTAAGGGATTTCTAACTTTCTGTTTTCATCTAGCGCTTGATGCCCTCTATATGGATGAAATGGTGACAAAGATTCACAACTGGATAAAAAGCCCAGCAAGCTCAGGGGTTGTGACAGAAGAGCCACAGAGTGCATGTGACAATCAGAAAAATGTTTATATTTTGATTGTTGAAGGCTTTCTGCTTTACAATTATGAGTAAGCAGTAATATGTAACCTGGTGTATTAAAACTGCCCTAAAATGGAGGAGGGAACTAAATATGTTATTATCTTAGGCCACTTAATGAACTTTGGAATAGAAGATATTTTTTGACCCTTCCTTATGAAGAGTGCAAAAGGAGAAGGAGGTAAGATTATTCAGTTGTTGTTTAACGAGGATCACTGTACCCTCTGAACTGTAGCAGTCCTTTTGTACTAGCTTTTCTTCGGTGCTTGCCAAATGTAAGCTATTAAGATCATCTGTCATCTGTTTTAGATTTGTTTGTTTTGGTTTTTATTTTAGAGCACAGGGATATCAAAGTGCTTTACAAACACTAAATGCTTTACAAATGCTATACAAACACTAAAAAGAGAATTTTTTGTCCTGATAAACTATTTCAATTACTGGTTGTGTATTTGAGTTAAACCATGTTTAAAACGAGAAGCAGTTAAAAAAATATGAAGCAGTCTTATTCTTGGTTGAATACAGTTACATGATGATAAATAATGATGTTCATGTGTGGTTTTAGTGTATGGTTTGTTTAGACTGTATACTAGTTGTACTGTTTATCTGATTTAGATTATTGAGCCAGACTTTTCTCCAAATTAGGAGCAGTACTCTATGTTTGGAGCAATACATGTGCATGAAGTCAGAATCTACTGGCTGAGTGAAGAAATTCTCTATTCAGCTGGCTTTGGCTTCTCACTAGACTCACCTTTAAAGGAGTTTAGTGTCCAGAATGGAAGTGACTAGACTCAACAACCAGTAATTTAAAGCTTGAGAAATCTATATACCTAATTAAAAAAAAAAAAAAATAGTAACAGTTTCAATACAGTGTAATTTATATGTAATACCTTTTTAAATTAAAAAAACCCAACCTTTTACCTTATCTTCTTAAATGTGGTTTGATAGGCAGAAATAGGTAAGATAGCAAAAATTCGTATCACAGATTGAATTAAAAAAAAGGAACCTCCTTTGCTCCAACAGTTATGCAAACTGCCAGCCCTTATGTTTTTTATTTTGAATAAAAGATGTTATTAAACCAGCTGACAGTAGGGGAACATGTAAAACTTGTATGGAAAAGCAGATATATTTTTGTGTAGCACCAGAGTCTATGAGCCAGCAGATACACCGGGGTACTTCGATGGACACGTGTGGCCTATGTATCTGAAATATAAAAATGAATTGGAAGAGAATGCAAGTATGCAAGTTGGTATGGTATCCTTAATTTTAAACTTATAAAATGCTTAAGTGTGGCACTTGTGCAGTTTTCATTGAGATGCGGGGTTTTATAAATGGAACAAAATTTTCCTGAGATGTTTTTGTAGCAGTTAGTAGATTTTAACTATTTTGTTGGTTTATTTTGCAAGTCTATTGGAGTTTTGGTTTTGCTTTTTAATAATGAAAATTATGACATTAAAAAATAGAAATGTTCTAATCACTAAATAAGTCCACTTAACAAGATAGCTTGTTAGAGACAACACAGGTATGTGTAAATAGGAAGCTTCTGAGATGACAGCTGACGCACTGGCAGAATTCTTCAGAATCAAATTGATATCCTGATTGAAGTCCTGTAATAAACTTAAGATACTTTCTAGGTGCTGACTATACACAGTATAGTCACCAGTTTTGCATGAGAAGTATCAAAGCTGGGCCAGCTGATAGGGCACTGCCATGAGCTTGTGTCATGTTCACACTTGTACAGCTTTTGGACTGCCTCCTTCTGGAGGGGGGACTAGAGGGAAGGGAAGCTGGGTGGCTGCTTCATCCACACACTGCTTCTCACTGTGGAGTGAGAATGGAACTGTGCTGTTCCCTGACTTGTTCAAACACTGATGCCGAGGAACCTGAAGTCTTCCACTGCACAGAAACCTTTCTGCTGAATTACCCCATTGGTCTGCTGTCCTAACATTATTACTGTTACCCTTATGGAGACTTCTATACCACAAAAAATTCCACATGAATTATTAACTAGAATACTTTTCCATTATGTTATTTTTTAACATGTAAAATGAATTTGTGAAAAAAGAAAAGAGGAGATGCTGTTCTTGGTTTTTATTTTTTCATCTTTTCTGATGGCATCTATAGGAATCCTGAAGACTTTGACAATTAGTATTACAGATAGTTGGCACAAAACTCATGAAAACTTTTTCTTTCATCTTCCTCAGTTTATTTGGATGGAACAAAATCCCAAGAGGAGCTTTTATCCTATGTGTATAGTGATATAATGCAGGAATTAAACAAGCTGAGGGAAGAAAGTAAGTAATGTTGCTGGAAATTGAATCTGCATGTCCCATTCCATGTTAACAAGAAGCTAACCTTTTATGTGAAAATACTACAAGGATTGTATATATTATGTCTCTTTATGTATTACAGTCCCATGTGTGCCCATTACTCCGAGTCAATCTAAATTATAATTGAGTTCCTTGAAATGGGATGTTCTAAAATAACAGTTGAATCCACAATTACCTAATGATAAAATAACAATAAGATAGGGGGAACAGAAGGAATATGGGGTAAAACACCAATGAAAACAAATGTGTTGATAGTATTAGTTTCTAATGTACAGTGATGTCACTTGCAAACACTACAAGTTAAATGTGTACTTTTTATTTATTTTAGATCAGCAGGTCACAGCATGATAATGTAGAAAGCCTGGGTTCCATTTCATATGAATTGAAAACCCCAAGACTGTCATATTTGGCAAGCCACCCAACTGAGCAAATGTTATGTGCACGACCATAATACCAGTCCATACAACACAAGTGTTTTTGTAGTAACTATTAACTCTGTAAGTCTCAGATATTGTTTAGTAGGATCAACAGTGCATTCTTTAGAATTCCTTTAATCAGTCATGCTTTGGCTTTAAATCTCATTGATTGGGAACATTTTAAAGAACATAAAGATTTTTATCTACATAACTAAACTATAAAGATGCAGTTCTGTTGGATTAATAAGCATATTTGAACATGGATGTTTGCAGTGTGAAATGATCATATAGGAATGACAGTGATTGCCTCTAATATTTTTAGGAGCTTATAATCACTGACATATCCATGGTTAGAAGAACTAACTGTGTAATTTAAGATTGATTAAGTTGTTATGCTGCCTTTTCAGTAACGGTATACATCATAGCTGAACTTAGACTTGCTAAATACCTCTCTGGTGTTTGCAAAGCAATTTCTATGTTGTGTATTGTTTGGGGCAGTTGGGAATGGGTATTAAAAATATTAAAACAAACCTGAAGAGAAGTCAGATTATTGGAAAAAGATGGGGGAATACGATGTCGTAGAGAATACAGATGCATCATTAACAAAATATAATGCATATATTGTGCAGATTGATGATTGGGTTGGCACAGACTACTAGACAATAAATGCATGTTTCAGGGGGGAGGAAGGAAGAAGGAATTCACACTAGTATTCATAACTCAAGTTGAAACTGAAATAATTAAAATGTTCAGAAAGCAGATATGCTAAACAAATGTGAAAGCTTTGTTATAGAATTTGTGTACATACATTTAGGTAAATTAGGAAATTGGGTAGTTGGGTCATATATTGTTGCTGAGTAATTTCTTAACTCTTATATTTGCTATACAATATCTTACTTTTTTATCAGTTGGAATAAAAATAAAGCTACAGACATGAAAAGCAAAGGATGGACTATGTTACTGTATGACAGCTGAACTGATCAGTGATTAAAATGTAATGCTTTATTGTAACAGTATTGAGTCAATATATAAGAAAAAGGTGTTATCAGGTTAGAGCTGTGTTTAGGTGCATTTAAGACGAAGTGCTTCCAAATATAATTTTGTATTATTATTATTTTGTACTAAAAATATTTCATGTTGCATTTGCTCATATGCTGTGATGGACTGTCTAACTTTAAACTGTATTTTTATTTTTATTTCCCTTTGGAAAGGATATAACTAGGAGAGCTTAGCTAAGACCTGGATGGTTGTGTGGGGCTGTCCTTGGCTAGCCACCAGGTGCTCCCTAAGCTGCTCTATTGCTTCCCTTCCTCAACTAGACAAGGGAAAAAAAATACAATTAATAGCTCGTGAGTCAAGATAAGGACAGGAAGATTGCTCAGCAATTAGAGTCACAGGCACAACAAATTTGGCTTGGGGAAATTATTTTATTTTATTGCCAATCAAATCAGAGTAGGATAATAAGAAATAGGAACAAATCTTAAAACACCTTCCCCCTGCCCCTCCCTTCTTCCTGGGCTTGACTTCCCTCGTGAGTTCTCTACTTCCTCTCTCCCAGCAGTGCAGGGGGATGGGGAATGGGGGTTGTGGTCTGCTCGTGGAGTATTGTCTCTACCACTGCTTCCTCCTTGCAGTCTTCTGCTGCTCCAAAGTGGGGTCCTACCCACCAGAGCAGTCTTCCACATCCACCTGCTCCAGCATGCTTATTCAGAGGAAGTAATGAACAATGGTATCACCCAAGTTTGCAGATCATATGAAGCTTTCTGAAGTAGTCCAGCATTGGTGCAGTGGCAAGGAGTTCAGTTGTGTGAGATCCTCCTCTAGGCAAAAGTGATAGATGAGCTCCAGTACAGATCAAAGCATTTGTGGTATAAATCATTATCAGAATATACATGGCACTGAACTTGTACTTCAGCAGCTTGTAATAAGAGCTCAGAGCAGAGATCTTTCACAGTTCTTCTGTAACCATACCACATTTTGGAGTTCCATCAATTTTTTTTTTTTAATTTTTTTTTTTTTTTGCAAAAAAAGCAGGTGGTGCTACTTTGCTCCTGTGTAAGACTGGTGGACCCAGATTTTCAGTGCTGGGAAGTTGCGGTTTCTATATTTAGAGGGACTCCATTGTGGAGTTAAAAGAAGGGCAGCTGATCAAGGAAATGAAGAAGCTGCTTTGTGAGGAGAGACTGAAAATGCTGGGACCCTTCACTGTGGAAAGGGGAAGACTGAGGGGGAAAGGGGTCAAGGTTTACAAAATCTTGAAAGCTGTGAGTCAAATGGATGCAGAATTAGTATTCACCAAATGGTACAAATACTAGTCTGGGTGGCACTTCTTCATTTGAAACAGATTGACCAATTATATTAAGGTGATATTTCACACAGATAAAGATGATACTTCGTGCAGCAGACACTGAGTTTCTAAGCTGTAATGCCACAGGAGGCAGATAGTACCAGCAAGTTCAAAGGGGATTTTGAAGATTCATTGGTACCTCACCCATAAGAAACAGTAGAAGAAGCAAGCAGGGCTATACCATGGATGGACTGTAGAAAATGACCAGGGTCACCTGGTGTACCTAAATTCTGTGCTCTTGCCAGTTACTACAGCAACTCAGTAGGAAAAAACAGTCACAGAATATGCAAGGATCATTGCGTCCAACCCCAGGAGTCACACTATGTGCCTGAGAGTGTCATCCAAATGCTTCTTGGAATCTTGGTGCTGTGACCACTTCCCTGGGGCCACTGTTCCAGCACCCAACCACCCTCTGGGTGAAGAATTTTTTTCTAATATCCAACCTAAACCTCCCCTGACACAACTTCAGGCCATTCCTTGGGTCCAGTCACTGGTGACCACAGAGATCAGTGCCTGCCCCTCCTCTTCCCCTCACAAGGAAGTTGTAGACTGCCATGAGGTCTCCCCTCAATCTCCTCTTCTCCAGGCTGAACACACCAAGTGACCTTGGCCCCTCCTCATACAACTTCCCCTCAAGGCCCTTCACCAGCTTTGCTGCCCTCCTTTGGACACTCTCTAATGGTTTAATATCTTTCTTATATTGTGGTGTCCAAAACTGCCACAATATTCAAGGTGAGGCCTGACCAGTGCAGAGCAGAGCGGAACAATCCCCTCCCTCGCATGGGCTGCCCATGCTTTGCCTGATGCCTCCCAGGACAAAGTTGGCCCTCCTGGCTGCCAGGGCACTGCTGACTCATATTCAACATGCCTTTGACCAGGACCCCCAGGTCCCTTTCCATGGCACTGCTTTCCAACATCTCATTCCCCAGTCTGTATGAACATCCAAGGTTGCCCCATTCCAGGTGCAGAATCCAGCGCTTCCTCTTGTTGAACTTCATATGGCTGGTGATTACCAAGTCCTCTTATTTGTTGAGGTCTCTCTGCAGGGCCTCCCTGCCTTTGAGGGAGTGAACAGCTCCTCCCAATTTTGTGTCATCTGCAGACTTGCTTAGCATCCCTTCCAGTTCTGTGTCCAAGTAATTTATGAAGATGTTGAAGTGCTCAGGGCCTGAGATGGAGCCCTGTGGAACCCCCCTAGTGACAGGTCAACAGTCTGATGTTACCCCAGTCACTATTACTCTCTGTGCTTGACTCGTGAGCCAATTGCTCACGCACCACATGATGTGTTTATCCAGCTGTGGGCTGGATATTTTGTCCAGAAGGATCCTGTGAGAGACAGTATTGAAAGCTTTAATTTCCAAAAGATTACATCAACTGGCTTCCCCTGATCAACTAGGTGGATTATCTTATCATAAAAGGAATGCAGGTTTGATAAGACTGTGTTGTCTTTCATGTGTTTTTCAATACCTCCCAGAATAATCTTCTCCATAAATTTATCAGGCACTGAAGTGAGAATGAACTTCTAAGTCTGTCTGGGAGATAAAAATATTTCGAGTGCCCTTAGAAAAACTTAGAGAACTTCCCTGCAATGTTGGCATGTTGGCAGAATGCTTTTGCTTTAAAGGTAGTACAGGAAAACTCTAGTTTGCCCTTGGCAAATGCAGTTTGATTGCCAGGGCTGTGCTAGCTATGAAGTGGCTGGGGAGAGCTGCATGATAGGAGCCTGTGGTTCTTTAGCAGTGTCACCTCCTGCTGGCAGCAATTTCAGGCTGTCATAGCTGAAAGAAAGCTTTGCTAAGTGTCTTGCATATGTTCAGAAACACTGTAGCAATAGAAGTGGTGTTGTTCTATAGAAGGCAAATGGCTTATGTAAAAGGAGTGCAGAAATGTCAGTACGTGACTAGTTTGATATTTAGGTGATTTCCTCATGTCAAAATAACAGAGAGAACATGACAATGTACTAGTCATAAACACTGATATAGCAAGTACAAATGTTTTATCTTGCAGAGTTATTGATCCCGCCCTAACCTTCAAAGTCTAAAAGCTGAATTTCTGTTTAGGCTGTGTAACATTGATTTAGATGTTGGTTTTATCACACGCAGGGTGCTTCCTAATTAACAAAACCAGTAATGTGCCCTTGGGAACAATGACTCCTTTGTCCATCAAACTAAATATGATGTCTGTGCCTCCTCTCTGGCACTGCCACTGAACACAGTGTCCAGTGTCCACCGATATCCAGTGTCCCATCAGTTAATGGAGTTGCAAGAGAGTAGGAGCAGTGTGAGGGTAAAGAATACTGAAAAACACTGAGAGTAAAGTGAGAGTGTTAGGAGGCTGATGCTCCTGTTTCTACAGAGAGAAGGTTAGTATGCCAAAAAACTTCTCTGTTCCTGTTACATTACTTGGATTACTAAATGACTACCACTGTCTTTAGACAGACAGCTAGGTAAGGCATGCTCTTCAGCATCTCAAAATGGGGATGGGCCCTTGCAAATGAGGCCCTTGGGATCAGCCACCTCTTCTCAAAGCAGTTTGGAAAGGGATATAGTGACTTGCTGCAGGACACAGGGTGTCTGCATCCAGTGAAACAAGTTTTGTCAGGTTAAGGAGGATGGGCTCAAGGGTCATCAGGGCCAAGGCGTGTTGTGGGGGGAAATATAGTATCTAGCGACTCACGCATGGCAGTTAAGCGTGCCTCCTTGCTTTTCCCTCCCCATAGTTGGTCCTTGCATTTCCTTCTAGGAAACATAATCCGGCTTTAGTCTGGCGCAGAGGTTCTTGCAAAGTACTGCCTCGTCTCAGCACAGCTGCTCTGCTCGTGGCTGCCTGCTCAGCGGGGCTGGATGCATACCTTACCACAACCTGGTGCAGGCAGCCCGGCGGAGACCTGAGCTTTGACTGCTGCACCAGGACTTCGTCTGCGTGAGGACTCCGAAAGGGCGCATCCGCGTCAGGCACGAGAGAGAGTGCTTCAGCGTCACTGCCGCCGTTTGCCAGTCCCGCCGTGTCATTTCTCACACTGGCGGGGACGAGCAGTGCTCCACAGCCCATGTTGCTGCTGACAGCTGACTCCAAGGCAGGGAACACCCGGTCAGGACACCAACCCCGCCACCGCTCCGGAGCTGTCCCGCTCCGCCCCGCTCCGCCCCGCTCCGCCCCGCTCCGCCCCGCTCCGCCCCGCTCCGCCCCGCTCCGCCCCGCTCCGCCCCGCTCCGCCCCGCTCCGCCCCGCTCCGCCCGCTCCGCCCCGCTCCGCCCCGCTCCGCCCCGCTCCGCCCCGCTCCGCCCCGCTCCGCCCCGCTCCGCCCCGCTCCGCCCCGCTCCGCCCCGCTCCGCCCCGCTCCGCCCCGCTCCGCCCGTCGTCTCGCGATACTTTTACCTTCGCCGAGCGGCCGGCGCGCGCCGGAAGGGAGGAGGGCGCGTGCGCGCGCGGGGGATGTCGGCCACGTGCGCCGTATCCCGGAAAGCGCCGCCGCCGCTGTCCCGGGGCGAGGGGGATCCGCCGACCAAAGTGATGCGCAGGGGGCTGCGGAGAGGCCACGAGGAGGAGCGGGAGCAGCTGCCGTGGCCGGGAGAGAGCGCGTGTGGCCGGGGCGCGGAGCCCGAGGGGGAGCAGGCGGCCCCGCTCAGGGACGAGCGGCGGAGGCGGCGGCCGCTGGAGCCGAGGGCGCTGGCGGCGGCTGCCAGGGAGGAGGAGGAGGAACGTCTGGAGCGGGAGCATTTCCGGAGGATCATCAACGCCTTCCGATATTACGGGTAACGGAGACCTGATCCCTGTGCGTGATGCCTGCAGGGTGGCCCTGCGCTCGCTGACCGGCCCCCGAAGGGTTCCGGGCTATCCCGCAGCTCCCGGAGCAGGGCGCTCCCCCTGCGGTCTGCGCTCCCTGGCGAGCACTGTGCCGGTGGCGGGGCACAGCAGCCCCTTATACACAGTAAGGGGCTTCTGCGCCACTTACCTTTGTGGATACGCTCAAGGTCGCTTTGGTACTTGTCAGTTCGGAAGCATAAAAGAAAGCACCAAACCTGAAGAGGGTGTGAAAGATTTCTTAGGAGATAAAATACTCTAAGTCTTCAAAACAATAGGAGTTCGTGCTGGCAAAGAAATGCAAATGGTGTTTCAATTATTGGGGAAATTCGTGAAAGACATTTGAGTTTGCCCGAGAGATAAGGGCTAATGGCTACCATTTTTAATAACATCTGTTGAGTTAGAAGAGGGCTTACTGGCCCCATAGAAATTAGATAAATTTAACTTTATGATTGAATCCATTGAATAGAAGAGGAACCAAGTTACTAAGATGGCGGTGGTGGAGACTGGCTGAAAAAGTCCAGTCTTCTTTAGTATTTCGATAAACTGTTTCCTGTTTTTAGGTTTGGGAAGCAGATTTGGGATGTAGCAACACTGTATATCTCTGTACTTCAGTGGACCAAGCCCCATCATGTGACTCATTACTGTGTTTTGAACCCTTCTTGTCACAAGCGTAATTTTTACATGATAGTGAGATTCTTGATAGGAGTGGGTGATATTTATGTAACTTCTCCTGTTTGAGGTTTTCCTGTCTTCGGTTTTATTTGTTTTCCAGGATTAGTGTTTGAGCGGGGAGGTTGGTCTAGATGATACTTCAGTGTTGGTCTAGATGATACTTCAGTGTGTCTTCCCGAATGAATTCTCTAATTCATTCTGGACGTATCAAAGACTTAGTTAAAAATATCTGATACTAGTGGCCATTAATGCAGTTCCCAACTGTAATGTACTCATGTCAGTGATGTAATTTTATCCTCAGGCCTTACAAGCTGGGAACATCATTCTCAACCTCATGCTGAACTGTGGCTCTAGGTTGCTTTTGAATGCAATTTGTTTTAGTAAATACATAAGAAAAAGATGTGACCTAAATTTTCAATACAGAAGTTCAATTAAATTACCTCTGTCTCAAGGAAATAACTCTGAATGTAGGTGAATGTAGGTGAAATTACATATCTCAGTAGTTTAAAATAATTGGAATTTTTATTTACATACAGATGTTTATTAATTGGGAACATCTGTATGAATAAGGCAATAACACACTTTCAGATAAGTCCAGATCTTGTTCTTCTCGTCTTGAGAGAAACAGACTTAACTTCATTATTTATAGTTCTGATTTCAGTGAATTATTAATTTTGCTAGATGGTTGCAATTAGCATGAAAGGGTGGAGAATTAGGTTCAAAGATATTTTTTTTTTGGATCAAACCTTTCAAGAAGATGATGTTAAGTTAAGCTTATGTGCTCTATATTGAGGATCAATTTATTTTTCTATTGTTTCTTCTCTGTTTCTTAATGTAATTTTAAACCAGTGTAGCTATTGTAGTGAACAAGCCCTTCTCAGAAACATGTGCATGAAATATTAACTCGTCAAATTTCAAGACTGAGGTTGCAACTAAAATTGCAGCAATTGCACCTTACTCTCACTGATGGTTAGTTTTCAACTTTGTACAGCTTTATGCTGACACAAGAGTTTGGGAAACTGCAGTTTGACTTGACCAGCCTAAATGATTTGGTGGACAAAAGGGGCAGTGTCTCTTGTCCTGGCTTTATGACTGTGCTCAGCAACTAGACTTCTGTCAGTTTAGACAGAAGTCACATCTAGAAAACTCTAGCAAAAGCTTAGAAGATTCACCTTTTTTGTGAAACTTGTATCTTGGAGAAGTGGAGGAGGTATTTTTAGCTTGTATGAGTTCCATGATCAAATTCACAGTACTAAGGGTAATATGCTGTTAAAAGGGGGTAGATTAGTATCTTAGTGTGGCTGCCGGAACTCTGGCATGGTCTAGCTATGACTTTTGCATTTCTTTCAGAAGCAGTTGATCTTGGCGATTCCAATTCGCACTCCATGTCATTTTTTCTGTAACCAAAGTTTACCACTGCATCCAGCTATTAATTCAGTTTAATTTGGATTTGGGAAACAATCTTGGAGATGGTTGTTTGTTAAATTTTGTAGATCCATGGATTAAGGTATTCATCACCTGCTCTGGAAATAAGTGGCTAATGATGAAACTTAAGTCCTCTTAAGCAGGAACGTGTTAAAAAGAGTGATAATGTAGAACTAGATCTTTAAAAAATTTTTGCCTAAAAAATTCTTGAGAACTTGTTCTCTTGTAAAGAATTAAAAAGTCTGATCACTTTCTGTGTATAACAAAGTGAATAATTGTCATTGGAATAGCTTACAGTGAATTATTTACATGTAATTTGTGTATTGGTTCTAAATATCTAAAACTTTTGCTTTTTAGAACGAATATGCATGAACGAGTGAACAGAACAGAGAGGCAGTTTAAGTCTCTCCCACCTAACCAACAGAGTCTTCTTCCTCAATTTCTTCCACACCTTGACAAGATTCGGAAGTGCATTGATCATAATCAAGAGATACTACAGACCATTGTGAATGACTGCGTTCATATGTTTGAAAATAAAGAATATGGAGAAGACGTATGTGAAAGTGGACTTTTTCTTGATCCAAAACTAAAGTCTGTATGCTTTGGGATTTTCTACATTTGTTTTTCACACCTCTAGGCCTCCAACTTTCCTTTTGCCTTTATTTTCTCATTTCTTGTTTCTTGCTTGCTTACACTTTTCTCACTCTTTCACATTTTGTGAAGCTGATGCTTACTAGAGCTGTTTCTTGCTAGTTCTTTTAGTTACACTTAGGAAAACTAACTGTGAATCTGGCAAATGTTTGTAAAAAGGTATTTTTCTCTGTGGAGTTCTAGCTTTACTCTGCTTACATTTTAAAGTTATTTTTTCTGTTAACTATGTAGAACAGAAATGATATTGTCTGTCTTACTGTAGGTTATTATATGTTGCAGCATTCTGAATTGGTTGCAATTCTAGATAGGCCAAGTATTTTTAATGTTGTTATTGGTGAGCACTTTTTTACTACTTGACCTGTTTTTTTAGTGTGGCGTCTCTGTCAAACAAAATGGCCCTCAGACTTAAAAGACTGACAGAGGTGGAAACTGAAGTCTTTTTGGTATCGGCAGACAAAATTCAGTAATGGACAACTCTGAAGTGAGCTTCTTAGTGTTGCCATACCAGTACCTAAAGGGCTCCTCTTTTCAGAGTAACCAGTTCAGCTTCTGCACTAGCTAGGCCCTGGTCCTTTCCTGAATAAGGACTACCAATTTGCTTTGCTATGCCATACTGTATGTTTTTTTTCTGATGTGGAAACTGGTCTCTGGGATGCCAAATGGAGACAGCAAACTCAGTTTGTTTAGGATATTAAGGTGGATTTGAGCTCTGGTCCCAGGAATGAAAGGCAAGTGCTTTGTCAGCTAAAACTCCCAACAGCTCTTATAGCGTGACATTTTTCTGTTTATAATTTCGTCTTTTTCCCCCAAGACTCAAAAAACTTTGTACATTTTCCACTAACTTTTTTTTTTTCCCCACGTTAATCAGGGAAGCGGGAAGATAACACCAGCTTCAACATTTGACATGGATAAATTAAAGTCCACATTGAAACAATTTGTGAGAGACTGGAGTGAAGAGGGAAAGTCTGAGAGAGATTCCTGCTACCAGCCAATCATTAGTGAAATTGTAAAGAACTTTCCAAAAGAAAGATGGTAATAGTGTCTTAAGACTTATATTTATGTGGAGATAAACTGTTGCACAAATCTAACAAAGTTTGTGTGGAGTAATGAAAAACTTGGTTTCAAAATACAGGAGTTTTTGTGAATTGTTTTTTTAATCAGGAAAGTTTTTATTTCTAATACAAGGTGTTGAAAAAAACCATATTAATAAACTTCACGAAGTAATACCAGGTAAATCAGGAATAGCGTTTTGTTGTTGTTCTGCAGCTTGGTGTAACAGAATGTATTTAACTTTTCAAGTAAAAGACTTCAGGAGTATGTGAAGTTAACTCAGTTGTGGTCAGCAAGGTAAAGTTTGCAGGTTAACAGATTATCAAAGTGTGTGTGCTGCAGATAAAAGCAAGGACCCTTGTGACAGCAGGAAGTATCACTATTGCCCTTCATGATGGAAGGAAGGAGGAATACTCTTAAGCTCTAGTGCAGTTGCACTTAGTTGCACTAAGAATTTACTCTGAAAATAGTAAATTCTAGGCTTGGTTTCAAACAGGTGTTACAAGACAATTCTTAAAAAAGCTTTGCTGCATGTATGAGGGTAACTTTGTAACCACATTGGCTTGTTAACACTGTAAAATAGCTGTCGATGCAGGGTTTTTTAGGTAACTTCAGGTAGAAGTATACTGGTAAAATCTCAAAAGGTAATAGTGCTATAAGAATTCCATGTTTAATGATTCTGTCAATTAATCAACTCAGTCATCTTAAAGTATATTTTAGGTAAAACTTAACAGTCTTACAGTTAGAATATATGAGAACTTTCTACTCACAAATGTAACGAGCCACAACTTAGATTTGATATAGGTGGGTATTACTCTGGGGTTTTTTCTCTCTCAGTAATTATTTACAAATTTGGAAAATCTTTTCTACTAGCCATTTTTTAGTTTCATTAGTAAAGACTGTGGTGGCAGAATATGGAATGGACGTGGTTGATTTCTATTTTGCTTTGGGCTGACTTATGTCAAAATACAAAACGTTTTATCTGAAAGTGAACTTTGCAATGCTTTTAGTGCTAATAGTGCCCTACATAAGATAGAAATGAATTAAATACTGCAGGTTATTTGGTGCATCTCTGATGTGTGGGTCTGTAGGAAAACTCATAGTTAGGTAGCAGTTCACCTTTTTCTCT